TCGACGATGAGGCTCTCGAAGGTCTTCTTCTTGGCGACGTTCGCCGCTGCGGCGCGCCTCTCCTTGAGCGCCTGCGCGGCGCACTGCGCGTCGTGGATGATGTCGGCGTTGGTCAACCCAAATGCGCGGCAGGAGGGGCAGAGTTTGTTGCCGAGGACCTTGACGCACCCGACGTCGAGGCGGAGGGGTCTGCCGACATCGCCGCTCGCGTAGACGTTGGGCAGGACCGGGAGGTTGCAGACGAGGTTCTCGTTCTTCACCTTGAAGAGGATCGAGCCGTCCTTCTCGTCCGACTTCGTGCCCAGGAAGGAGTGGTATCCCTCCTGGATGGAGACCATGTTGCCGAAGTGCTTCTCCAAGAGGGGGGCGAAGTGCTCGATCTGGGCCGCGGTGTCGATGGCGCCGCGCGTGCGTATGGCGAGGAGGCCGTCTGAGTCCGTGGTCGCCTGGGTCTCGCGCGCCTCCGCCTGCTTGCCCCACACGGTGGCGTCGAGAGCGGCGAAGGTGATGGTGATGTTGTCTGGCGCTGGGAGCTGTAGGACGCCACCGCCGGTGTACTGCTCGAGGAAGGCGCGTGCCTCGCTCTCGCCGCTGAAGGCGACGCAGATGGCGCGCGACGTGCCGATGATGGGCACGCTGATCGCGCTTGCCTGCTGCGCCTCGCCGCCTGGTGTCTTCTTGATCAATTGGCGCACCTCGGTGACGAGCGCCGTCTTGTTCTGGATGTCCGGGATGTGCGAGCCGTCGCGCGCCGCGAGCGCGACGTGCAGCAGGCGCTTCGTGCCGCGGTCGGTGCCGGCGGCCGCCGCAGCGGCCATCTGTGCAGCGTCCACCATAATGGTGTCGCCTTCTTTGGCGTCGTCGTCGTTGACGCGCGCGCTCGCGAGCTCGCCGTCGAGGCGGCGCTTCACGCCGAGTCTCTGGCCATCATCGGCCTCTTGCGCGCCGTCGCGGCCGCGCGCCGCGCCCTCGGCAGCGGCAGCGTTGAGCACCGGCGTTGAGCACCGGCGGCGGCAGGCCGGCCGAAGCGAGCGCCATTCAAGTGAAGCGCCGTTCAAAGGCACTCCTTCCAAGGGTCACAAGCTGCGGTCCGATTTCTTTTTTCAGGCTGGCTTCAGAGACACACAAATGTGTATATGAGCTTCCCGGTTGAGGCAACGCTCGCCGCCTCCGCCACCGCCGCACTCCTCGGTGTTCTGTCCGCGCCGCTCATCTCGTCGCCCATCTGCGCCGCGCTGGTCTTTGGCTGGATCGCGTGCATCGGCGTCGCGCTCACGCTGGCGGCGCCACCCGTCGAGCCTCCTCCGAGCGAGGCGGAGTACGAGGCGCACGGGCTGGGCCCGCTGCCCGGCGGCGCGCCGCCCGCACAGCTCTACCTCGACCTGATGAAGCGGATCGTCCTCAACCTCTGCTACCATGAGCAGTCGCACCAAGTCGTGCTCTCCCGCTCACCCGACGAGGGTCGGCCGGCGCCGGAGCTGGCGAGGACCTTCTCGCTGCGCGCGCGGGTGATGGGCGAGGACGTCTCACTCAACACCCTGTCGATGGTTGGACTCCGCCGGCTCGACTCGCTCCAGGCGTGCCTCTCTCCGCTCCCGAGACACTTCCGAGACACTTCCGAGACACTTCCGAGACACTTCCGAGACACTTCCCTGACTCGCTCCAGGCGTGCATCTCCGCACTCGTCGCCGAGGGGATCGAGGGCGACCTGCTCGAGGCAGGCTGCGCTAAGGGCGGCGCGTGTATC